CAACCAATACCTACAGAAAGGTGTTAAGTCTGATGTAATAGGGGAAAAAATGGACGATAAGGTCCAAGAGACCTAGGTCTCAGTCCTGGGTTGGCCATGGACTGGTTAAATTCGCAGTAAACAATTTATTGATCTTATGTCTTAGTTTTAATAACTGGTAATTGGATATAACTAACTCACCCTTTGTCAGTTCACAGGGATGAATATTTACATAAGATATACAAAATGAACATACCATGAAAATTATAAAGCATTAAGTAAATGCCAAGTATTTTTTTTTTAATACTATTTAACATTCCCCTTTAAGGATTAAAAGCTTTATCTGGGGGCTACAGTTCTTAGCCTTTCAACACTCCTGGTAGTTACATTTTCAGACTACTTCTCTCTTACCTGAAAGCCACAATGAACTCTTGAGGGAAAAACTCTTTACTTGTGTATAGTGTTTATACATTCCATTAGTATCAGCTCCCTTTATTTATATTTTATGTTGGTACAATACTTTACTCTTATAAGCTCAGGTTGTATGGGGCTACATGGATTGTATTTTGACACTTTAGGATTCAAAAGTCATAATTGGCTTTTGCCATATAGCAAATGTCATGTTACATCCTAGAGCCATGTCTATTTTTGGCAAATTGCTGATCTTTTCTCTTTTTTTTTTTTCAATCCAGAATAAACTTCCTGCCTAAAATTAGCCTGGATTGGCTCGACTACACTCTTAGAGTCAAATAGTTAAGACCATGTGAAGTCTTGTACATTCTGTGGCTAAAAGAATCCATTTCCTTTAATAGAGGGGTGTAAATTCACTTTGAAGAGATGAGTGTTTCCAAATTAATGTAGCAAGTCAAGTTGTTTTTTTTGGTTTGTTTTTTTTGTTTTTGTTTTTTTTTTTTTACAGCAGCATTTATCATAGCCAAGATATGGAAACAACCCAAATATCCATGGACAGATGAATGGATAAAAAAGATGTGATGTACATACATATATATATATATATATATGGAATAATACTCAACCATAAAAAGAATGAGACCTTGCCATGTGCTGCAAGATGGATGGATCTAGATAGTCATATGCTAAGTGAAATAAGTCAGACAGAGAAAGAAAAATAACATATGACTTTATTTACATGTGTAATCTAAAAAAACAAAACAAATGAACAAACAAAGAAATGAAACTAAATCAGACCCATAGATACAGAAAACAAATTGGTGGCTGCCAGAGGAACGGGAGGTGGAGGATGGGTAAAATAGATGAAGGGGGTTAAAAGGCACAAAATTCCAATTATAAAATAAAGAAGCCATAGGGCTGAAAAGTGCAGCATAGAGAATGTAGTCAATGATATTGTACTAACATGTGACAGATGATAACTACACTTATGGTGAGTATTCTGTAATATATATAATTGTCAATTCACTATGTTATATACCTGAGACTACTATACTAGTGTATGTCAACTCAGTTTCAGTTAAAAATAAAAGGAATTAGGGGTGACTGGGTGGCTCAGTCTGTTAAACATCTGAATCTTGGTTTCAGCTCAAGTCATGATCTCAGGGTCATGAAATCAAGCCCAGCACAGGGCTGGGCACTCAGAGGGGAGTCTGCTTGTCTCTCTCTTCCTCTCGCTCTGCCTCTCCACCCACTTGAGCTCTCTCTCTCTCTCTCTAATATAAATAAATAAATCTTAAAGAAAATAAAGGAATTGACAACAACAAGTTAGCATTGCTATCTCCATTTTCTGATTTTAGAAACTAAATCCCAGAAAGTTTAATTTACTTAATACTCCACAGAAAGTGGTGGAGGTGGAATTCAAACAAGGTGTCTCCAGCAGAGGGAGGTTAATTGAACAGACAGAGTTAAACAAACAAACAAACAAACAAACAAACCAGTAAGTTTGGCATTTCAAGTTATAACCTCAACTTTAGTTGAGCCTCAACTTTGTCACACCTTTTTAAATCTTTTAACTTTTCTGAGTGTCAGTGTCTTCCTTTGTAAATTCTGGATGATATTAACAAATATCTGGAAGAGCATTTTTTAAAGATTTTATTTATGTATTTGAGAGAGAGAGAATGAGAGATAGAGAGCACGAGAGGGAAGAGGGTCAGAGGGAGAAGCAGACTCCCTGCTGAGCAGGGAGCCCGATGTGGGACTCGATCCCAGGACTCCAGGATCATGACCTGAGCCGAAGGCAGTCGCTTTACCAACTGAGCCACCCAGGCGCCCTGGAAGAGCATTTGAGGGAAAAAGAAATGATACTTTAAAAACAATTATTACATAGTTATATAATAGGTACTTAATAGATGGAGATTATTAAGTATTTGCAGCTTTTAAATTTCTTTTAGCAGATGATTATTCCCTACCACATATTAGTTAACAAGGTTATAAGAAAGAAAAATAATTTGGAGTCATTCTAACATTTTATTTATTTATTTATTTATTTATTTATTTATTTATTTATTGCCTCTCCATAGATGTAAAGATCTGGGAAATCACTATATCAAACCTCATACTAGGAGTACTTTCTCCTATCAGGGATTCTTGTCTCTTCATTTCTTTTCAGAAACATCCCCAGGTTTCCATCTTTATTATACATCTAGAATAAATTCACTTTCCTAGACATAAGACTTTATTCAAAATATCTCTTCAAGGAGAGAATGTCATTTTCTGTTGTTTTCCCTAATTTATCCATGTTCTTTTTCTTGTTCCTGGAGCTTGTATTCTTAACAGTCACTATAGTGATGTCCTCCAAGGACCTTGGCCCTAATATAGGCTTCTTTCTAAATGCGTTTTGGGAATCAGATCTGGCACTTTTGACTTAGACCCTTAAGGAATAGTGACAATGACATGTCACTTTCCACTGCTTTGAAATCCTACAATGCAAAAATTTCATGTCAGTTTCTGCTTTTCTTCTCCTGTCTTCTGCCTCTTCTTCTAAATGCTCTGGTCTCCAACTTTAGCCCTTGAGAATTACCAATTAGTAGTGAATGTGCATTTGGAATTATAGCTGGGTACAGTGAGGTCTAGTGCCATTTGGCAAGAGTACCCAGTCTTCATTAAAGAAAGCTTTTTGGCCTGGGAGACTGTTCCATAACAATGTTCAAAAAGTCTCTTATGAGACAGTCTTTTGAAGGCCATATTAAGAAATAAACATACGTGTGATCCTTTAATGAGTAACAAATGTGTACCCCTACTGTAGGGTATTTATTGGAATATCTGGAAATAAGCAGTTTCCTCCTCCACCCCAATGTTCTTTTACCTTTGAAGAAGTGTCACTTTACATCTCTGTTGAATTTTTATCATCATTACCTGGAAAATTCTCATGGAATCTCAGACATCCAGTGGTAGGAAAAATAATGATCCACAGAGATACCCAAGTCCTAATCCTCAGAACCTGTGAATATGTTAGGTTAAGTGGCACAAAGGAGTAAGATTGCAAATGAAATTAAAGTTGCTAATCAGCTAGCTTTAAAATAGGGAGATTATCCAGGAACCTTTGAGTGAGCCCACTGTATTCACAAGAGTCTTTAAAGTAAAAAAGGGAGGCAACATAAGAGAATTAGAAGCAGGTGGAATGACACAAAGACATGTAACAGAACTGGCTTTGAAGATAGGGGGAGGGGGCAACAAGCCAAGGAATGTGGGTGGCTCATGGGAGCTAGAAAAGGCAAGGAAACGGATTATCCCTTAGAACCTCTAGAAGAAATGAAGCCTTACCAGCAGCTTGAGACCCATGTCAGGCTTCTACAGAATTATAAGACAATAAATTTGTATTGTGTTACATCATTTAATTTAAATTGTTTACATTTACAGTCATTTGTTATAATCCCTGCATAAAATTAATGCATATGGTTTCTTTCCTTTTCCAGTAAGAAGAGAGGGATGATAAACTAGTGAGGTTTACATGGGTGTTAAAGGCAGAGAATGTAAGGGCAAAACTAGAGAAGGCATTATCAGGGGATGTTAATTTCTCTTTTTCTTCCATATTCTCATCACATCTCTTTCTACATTCCTGCCAAAATAATTCTCACTTTAGTGATTCATGGAGGCACTTTGACCATTTATGGATTTGAAATAAATTATAATCTCTGCTGGGTGGAGAGGAAAGTCCTTGCCCTTTGCCAGAAAATAAACAGATTATCATAATAAAATAACTATTTGAACCCTCTATGTAGATTGAAACTGTTACACCTTATAAGAAAAAAAAGAAGCAATTCATGTGTATTGCAGTTTTATGTAATTGTATCTTAGCAATTTGTTCAAATGATCTTTGCTGAAAGAGAGAAAAGGGCTACTGAATAATCTTAATACAAATCTTAAAGAAAATAAGACATTAGATCTTGCTGAGAATCAGAAATGATTGCCTCTTTACCTTTTACAAAAACTCAAAGATACTTTGGAAGATTGCTATCAGAAAATCAGTGCACCACAATCCGTACCATCAACAGAACTAAGCAGGTAAAAATCTTGAATAGATGGTCAGTTTATACAGCCAACTTAAAACACTAAACATAAGAAACTTCTGGAAGGGCCACTTTGACTCCTATTCTCTTTGCCTCTTTTCATTTTCCCCCCTTGTGACATTTTTGAGTGCAATATTGTAATGAGCACTGTAGTGTGCTTGAACTAATCCTCGGCATCCATAGATAAATGGTGATGGGGATACTGAAATAAATTTTATAAAACATCTATAGTGTAGAACAGATTTATTAAGTCTTTGTTACAGTTCATAAAATACATGAATGAGAATTTAGAAGTTTGAAATGTTATCTCAAAGCAGAGATGGCCCTAAGAGATTTCTATGATATGTGGTTGATAAATTGATGTTTATAGTGTGAGGTTAAGATTTAGGAAGAGAAAACCAAGAGAGATAGGGGATGGGTTCCCTTACTCAATGAATTATAAGGTAAGTTCTTTAATTTTAGACATTATTTAAAGAGGATATAGACCATAGTTTGAAAAACAAACAAACAAAAAACATAGGAGTGTCTTTCATGTTGCAGAGCATCTTGGATTGGATTCTGAAGTTGCCAAAGCCAACACTCTGGGTTTTGTTGGATGTCTGTCTTCAGTCCAGTATAACCAGGTTGCACCCCTGAAGGCGGCCCTACGTCATGCCACCATTGCACCTGTGACTGTCCATGGGACCCTGACAGAATCAAGCTGTAGTTCCATAATGGATGTGGATGTGAATGCAGTGACCACGGTGCACTCTTCATCAGGTACACAGGAGAATACCCAGGGAAATTGACTTCTTCTGATAGCACTACTTTTGATATCTTCAAGAAGTTTCTAGGTTAAAGGCTAGTATTACTCAAGTCCTTACTTTATAAGATTACAGGTAGTTAAGAATTATGACTGGTTCCTCATGGTTGAATTTTATTGAATTGTATTGAATATAACCCTACTTTTAATATGATGAGTAGTTAGAACTCAAAGCATATTATAGATGATAGATAGATAGATAGATAGATAGATAGATAGATAGATAGATGATAGATAGATAGATAGATAGATAGATAGATAGATAGATAGATGATAGATAGATGATAGATAGATAGATAGATGATAGATAGATAATGACTACTGCTCTGAGGATCGAAGAGTTTAGGGTCAGAGAGAGGCAGGCTGGTTGTTGAACTGATATAATTCATGTGATTAAAATTAGCCTTCCATAATAATAGGAAAGCCCACAGCATTATCATCCATACATCTTCTTTTATTTTACTACTCCCTAAAATACCTTTTCTGCCTTTATTTAGTCACCATCATCATGAGTATCTTGAAATGTCCCTGGGATTTGTTTTAATCAAGTGTGGTAATCAACTGCCAAATAAGTTATTAATCATGAAGAAAGAAGGGGGACTGAGTTTTGCTGCTGCCTACTCATCACCATGCTTGGTGTTTTCCTGGCACCAGTTAGGTGTAATAGAAGGAAACAGAATGTGACAGTTGACTAGCCTTGATTTGAATTCTGATTCTGCCATGGATGAATTGCAGAACTCCAGACAAGTTACTAAATAACTTCAATCTGATTTCCTTATCTGTGAAGTGGGAAAAATAATACTCATGTTGTAGGTGTTTCCTGAAGATACAGGAATACTGTTGGCAGTTGCTATAGGTCCTAAAAATTCCATGTGTACTATATGCATACATATGGGTATTATTACCCCCTTTTAATACATTTGCAGATGTGCTAATTAAAAATATATCTAGCTCAATGTCACCAGGCCAACGTGTGGCAGAGCAAGATTCAAATCCAGGTCTACAAGCCTTCAAACTTGATCTTCTTTTATCTTCTACCATATATGTTAATGTACGTGTAGTGAAATCCCTCTTTCTGTCAGTGAGGGTTTCTTGGGGGTATTAATCCTCCAGCACTTTTGTCTTTCCCTGTCAATGGACTCCAAATCCCTGTGCAGCTAAAGAAACCTCCGAAGCATAGAGCATATGCATGCTTGAGGTAAGAGGCCATCACCATGGAGAGGGAGGGTCTAACAGAGCAGAGAGGGGCCTCTAGGTTAGGCTGAGAGGTAAACCATAGGTGAAAGCAGATAGGGGTGGGTTCTACCATCATCTGTTTCAGCCCATTATCTTACAGCTGACATAGAAGCTAATAGTCACAGAATTATGGGGTGGAAGTTGTGTACTTTTTGTGTGGGTTTGTTTGTTCGGGTTCATAAAAAAATGCAAACTGAGAGTACTTGGTCTAACCCACAGATGTGTCATCTCAAGTCCATATTGTACACCTCCTTCCTGTATACAGAGTGAGGAGTGAAGTGACATGTCTTTTTACTCCTTGCAGATCCCTTTGGGAAGACGGATGAGCGAGAACCACTCACTAATGCCGTTCGAAGTGACTCGGCCGTCATTGGAGGTAAATCATTCCTTGTTGCTGAAAGCAGAGGGGGCAAATGATTCTGTTCTTGGGAGAAATTTATTTGATTCCTTCCTTAATTATAGCCATCTAGTATCCAGAACCTTGCAATGATCTGTAAGACTGTGAGCCTTTTCATGAATAGTCATGGGTGCTGTATGATCAAAGGCGCCCTCTACCCCACCATCCACAGTCCATGGATGCACCCTGCCCTGATCCATCAGGCAGCTGACTACTGAGTCAACAGCTGGAACACTTACTTAGCGACAGGCAGTGTGCACCCTGTTCATCTCATCCAGCTGTCAGTTTTCCTAAAGCACAAACAAAGCACACTAATAAAACATATGGGAAGAAGCCATGTTGGGGCAGACAGATGGGTGAAGCCCCAGTCCTGTCAGTTTTCTCCACCAAGTGATTTGGGTTGGATCTAATGAGCAGGGTGAAGCCCACAGGAATGGAGTTTTGAATCCAGCAGTACATATGGTTAGAGATACAGATCTTGTCTGTTCTGCTGTGAGCTCAGCTCTCCCTCCCACCTCCCCTGTCTTTCCATCTTCTCACTGCCTGTTGGACTCACCCATTTTTGTCCTCCTTCAGCCTGGTTTCTGCCTCGAGTAGCTTGATTTTTCCCTTCTGGGCCTTGCAACACAGAATGATTCCCAAACCTTGTTTAATGTAAATGCCCATGAGATACTGAATTAATTGCCATCCAGAACCATAGCCCTAGCAGGTGACCCCCATCACTGCCTCTGGGAGGCTAGATTAACTGATCCACACCAGATGGAGTTCTTTTAAAAGTCAGCGGCATCCATTCATTTAACTTCTATATAATGAGTCTCAGCTATAGGTCAGGCCTTGTGCTAAGTATAGGGATACATGGGTGAAAGCCATGGAGGCTGTCCGCAATGAACCCGCAGCAACAACAGAACTAGTGAATGGTGTTTTGAGGGAGGAAGTGCAAATGGTTGTGGGAGCACAGAGGTGCACCATTACAATGCAGTTGTGAGGAACGAAAACCAGGAACTTTCCTTAAGGAAGTTCTTAAAATGTTTGACCTGAATTTCTGCTTCAGGGGAAAGAGTCCAACTTGATTTTTGTTTGGCACCAAAAAATATAGGAAAGAATGTAATGCCTGTTTCTCTTCCTACAATTTCGTATTTGTCAAGGGGAGAAAAGACTTGTGACTGCTGACATTTTCCCACCCAGTTACATGCTTCTGTGAGTCTCTAAGAGCAGGAAAGGCATCCCAATCCCTCTGGAAAACTCCTTCAACTCTGAACAGTTTGTATACTAAAGGAGTAGAAACTGATTCTGTATTTTATCTCATAAAGCTGTAGCCAAACATGGGAGTCACTCACTACCACCTAGTTTATTCATGTTTGTTAACTTAGGTGGTTTTACTCTGCCTTGTTCTAAAATAGCCAGGGAAAATGCTGCATAGTGGTTTCTGAATATTAAAAAGAAAAAGAAAAGAAAGTAAACAGTCTTAATCATGGCCCCAGTTCTGATACAAATCAGTGGAAAATGTGCAGCAAATATATTTAACTTTCAAATGCCCATGCTTATGTAAATAAGAATGCAGGATGCCCAAAACTATCTTTGAAAAAGAAACACAGTTCGCCACTATCCATTCTACTTAGAAAGAAAAACAAAAACAGCAGAATGTATGTTATCTTGCGAATAAACTTATCTTTGAATATCATAAATACTTCTCATATTTTAATGTTGAAAATCCCATATGTATAGAAACATTCTCTCTTTAAAAGTCACCAGTTTCTACACTGTCACCTCTTTTTGCTGACTTTGCTCTTTGCATCCCGAGAGGCTTCGTGGCAAAGGTAGGGACAAGACCTTCGTTCAAGTCAGTGAGGGCAACTTGCCGAGTAGCTGCAGTAAAATCACAAGCAGTCAAAGCAGGCAGAAATCTGACTTAACTGGAAGAAGTCTGCTATTTCAGTTGACTCTGAATATCTGAACGACAGAAGCATACCGTTGCTGAACTGTCTCATCCCTAGCGGAGTGCACAGCAGTGTAGGAATGCCCTACTTCTTTGGCAAACACTTCATTATTAACAAAACATGTTTAGCAAAGCGAACACATACCCTAAATGAATTTACATCAGGAGAGCATGTATTGAGGTCTGGGATACTTCACTATGGTTTTCTAGGGTGCTAAAGTAGTTCTGAAATACTCAGTTGCAAGAAATGACAAATGACTGAACATGACAAATGTGCTAATTAAATGATTCTGTCACATTCTTTAAATCAAGTCTTGAAGAAATAATTAAGAAATATTTTGCCAGTCTGAGTCCATATTGATATGATAGCATTCTCCGATTTAGACTGGTTTTCTTCCTGGCCGGTCTGAAAGAGGAGGTGTTTTAGTGACTGAAGACTGAACACATTTCAGCAGGTCTTCAGTTCTGGGCATGCAGCAGAGTTTGTTGCTGTTTGTTTTGTTTTGTTTTGTTTCATTTTGTTTCTTTCTCCCAAGTGCCTTCCCTGTCTAGACTGAATCATCTCTTCTGAGTGTACGATCTTTGATGATTTCCTTCTCTCTTTCTTTCCTCTTTATCGACAGGAGTAATAGCGGTGGTGATATTCATCATCTTCTCTATCATCGGCATCATGACCCGGTTCCTTTACCAGCATAAGCAGTCACACCGCACTAACCAGATGAAGGAGAAGGAATACCCAGAAAATTTGGACAGTTCCTTTAGAAATGACATTGACTTGCAAAACACAGTGAGCGAGTGTAAACGGGAATATTTCATCTGAGAAACTGCAGGGTCACATAATATATTCTCTTTTGGGTTGTTGTTAAATTTTTCTCCTATCTTTTAATTTTGGTCATTCTCCTTTTCCTATCTGTTTGCCAATTATTTTTGGCACATAACTTGTATCAACCACAGCATCTATCCCCTTGATCCAGCCCGGAAGACCAGGCAGCTATGGCCACTGCCTTCCTTTCTGACAAACTTATTGTGGTGATAATGATCACTTAAGAGACTGACTTTACTCCTCTAGACAAAGAAGAGACACATGTGTGCACATGTGCATATTTAGTTCTGTGTTTCCAGTTTCTAAGTAAGATGCACTCTTTAGTTCCACAGCCATTCTGTCTTGCATTAAACCTCAGGCTTACTTTGAACCTGAGCTCTGTGACATAGGCATATGATACTCATCTTTGACATCTTCCTTCATCTCAAGTTCATTCCTACCAGGGAACTCAGGGTAAAGAAAGAAGATGCTAAAGGCCTGGTTCGCTTCAGTGGCACTTTCAAAGGAATAAGAGAAGTTTGTTTTGTGCTGATTTTCCTTACCTTAGGACGCCCATTGCCCTAACTCATCACCCTTTTTCACTTTGACTCTCATCCCCTGAGTATTTCAAATATAGGATCCCTGATAGTAGTGAGCTATTGCTTTGCTCCTTTCTTACCACTCTCTCCTGGGGCTGACACTTTAGAACAGCACACAATAGCATAAACCTAGGGGAAGCATGGAAAATAGTAGCTTGAAACTAGGAGGTAAAAAAGAAAGCTGCTAGGAAGTAGATGTTCTGTAACTTCAAAAATGCCTTTTCCCGTTTTTAAAGAAATGTTAGCTAGGCTATTCCTGGGATTATTATACTGAGGTATATATATATACTGCAGCATAAAGAAATTCTAATAAAAGTCTAAAATAGTACCTAGTTCCATGAAAGAGCTTAAACCATCTTAACTGAGCTTTAAAAACAAACAAAAACAAAAACAAAATAATAATTTAAAAAACTGCATGAAAGAAGAGAAATACCAAGCAGGATTCTTCCCTTCCATCCACTCACCAAAGATCTAGTGAATAAAGTGAATGCAGGTTTCATGTTTTAAGGCAGACACAATGACCCTCCTCTGTCCATGGAGCCATTCTCTGTGAGATTCCGGGTACACTGACTGATGGGGCATTGTGGTTTGTCTAGCGAACCCTCACTGCTTAGTTTCAGAGGAGACCATAGGTTCTACAGTACATCACATTTTCAAGTCATCTACACCCTATGTATATAATGCCCCCCCCCACGCACATCTTTTTGTAGGCATAGAAGCCAAGATAAGATGATAGTAAGTTTCAGGGTCTTTGCCCCTCTTGATAACTAAGCTTCGAAGAAACACAGTCATTCCTTCAAGAAGGCATCTCGAACTCATCCACGAGGTGGTGATAAGAATCCTGATGATTTTTTGCTATGGCAATAGGTCTAACTTTTTGCCTCTGGGCCATCTTGGAGAAAAAGAGAAGGGGAAAATAATATCAATCCTCCAGAATGCTGGGAATGCCAATATAATGATCCACAGATGTGGAAATCACTTGCCAATTCTCTTTACAAGACAGATTCGGTTTGGGAAACAATTACCACATCGCAGTTTGCCAGTCTTGACAGTTAGCAGACATTCCATCTTGTCCTTAGAGTGTCTATCGCCTCTGATTATTTAACACTCCCCTGCACGGCCAGGCTCCCAATGAGGAACTCATTAGCTCCATCTCATTTCAAATCCATTTCCGGCTTTTCTTTCAGTGCCTGAGCACATGGGTAAGGATTCGGCTTGTAATCATATTTCTCAACTTTAAGATGTTGTTCTAGGTATATATTTTCTTCTTAAAACTTTCTGTGGATTCTTAATCACTTCATTATATCATTTTTTCTAGTAAATTTATTTAAAGTGATTCCAACATGGGCATCTTTTTTTTTCCCTTCCAGCTTTCTTAATAAGATGAATGATCCACTAATAAGAGGAACGATCTTTTTTTTTTAAAGATTTTATTTATTTATTTGAGAGAGAGAGAATGAGAGATAGAGAGCACGAGAGGGAAGGGGGTCAGAGGGAGAAGCAGACTCCCTGCTGAGCAGGGAGCCCGACGTGGGACTCGAACCCGGGACTCCAGGATCATGGCCTGAGCCGAAGGCAGCCGTTTAACCAACTGAGCCACCCAGGCGTCCAAGAGGAACGATCTTTAAATATGGTTTTATGCTGCCCTATCCACCCTTATTTCCAATTTTCACTTTTGAATTTTCTATTTCCATAAAAAGGCTGTATAAATCAGCCTTTTGTTTGGGTACAGAGTCCTTTGTCCCCTGAAATAAAAAAAATCACCATGAAGTGCAGTGGGTTTAGCCTGAAGCATCTCCAATAATGAATTGGAAAGGCAAAGGAAGGTGTGAGTAATAAAACTGGAACCCCTCATTATTCAAGTCTGTGAAAAGTGAGGACTATATTTTGCTGACATAGTGCTGACAGAAGAAATGGAGAACTAGCAAAGGCTAATTCAGAGTATTTGCTTTCCCCATCTACTTATATATGCTCGTAAGTAGTTCTGTAGGGCGAAGACTCTGTGAAGCTCTATCCTTGCCACATCGGCCCTGCAGAATCCACCAGCTCACCTCCCCGCACATGTAGACGATGTATACATACACACAATGACGTATCACAGACCCAGAAACCAATGCCAAGACAGTGCAATTAGCACATCACTCTTACAAGTAGAGTCTCAGGGCTAAAGCAGAATTACATTTACAGGGTTGGATTATTTCATAACCCCAGAACACTAACTTTCACTAGATGTATATGGAAACAAGTAAAGCTGCTCCTTCCAAAGCAAAACACAATTTTCACTCGAAAATAAGTGCTAACTCCGCCTGTCTTTCCTCAGTGGTACCAAATCCATGTAGTTTTGTGCAATTGTTCAATTGTGTGAGTGTTTGGATCTTTGAGAGATTATAATCCAAAACAAATAGTCGTTGAAAACAGTCTCACCCCTCCTTAACCACTGGGTAAGAATAATCAAGGTTCCTGACATGCTCTGCCAGCTGGACCACCATAGTCCTCCACTGTAACCCTCAGTCCCTGGTAACTGCTGATTACAAAAAGATTTTATGGAGTGTGGTCACTTTACAGCAAAACCAAAAGTACCTGTGCAATTTACATTCTAAGGGGAATATTTTATTGATACAATTCCCACCAAACAAGCCTTTCTTTTTATGTGAACAACAGTACATTTGCTTACCCTAAAATATATTTAATACCTACTGCATCACTCATTGCGCATATAGGTTCAACTGCCATGATCTCTATGAGAATTCATCTAGAGAATTAGACATTTGTCACTTCTCTAGATATATATTTATGAATACCTTAGCCTCTTCTATTCACTCTCAACTTCATATGGGAGATTTTAGTTTATTTATTCATATGGGACTGATTTTTTTAAAACAGTTTCTATGCTCTTTAGTAATAACAGAGGTGATACTAACCTGACTTCCACCCTCTGTTAGCCCCATGCCCACCACAAGGTAGCAGGAACAGGATTGGAACAAAAGTAATAGATTGTTCCCTTTCTTAATTCATCATGAAGTATTTACTGAATGCCCAGTACTCCAAGGGTTACACTAGACATGGGCTATACAAATATAAATTATACCTTGTTCTTGCCCTTGGAGGAGCTCAAAGTCTATCAGGGCAAGTATATATTATTGTAATAGGGGTACACAAAAAGTGCTATAAAACGTAGAGCAAAGGTCCTGCACAATCATTTATGCAAAGCCTTAGCTAGAGACTTAAACAGATAAATTTATGGAAAATATTCATAACTTTTTCTTGTATATTCCACCTTCAATAAACTGCTTTGTTTCTCTTCTTCAAAGCAAATATCTATCTATCCAGATATTTTTTTTTTTTTCTGTAGAGGGAGATGGATTAACTCTTTAGGAACAGCAAGAAAAGATGATCTTTGTCTGTAAAGTACCTTGGAAGAAGCCCAATTCTCTCCATTCTTTCTTCATTTCAGGTTGGGGGATTCTAAAAACCCTCCTTCCCATTAGTCAGTCTTTTTTTTTTAAGATTTTATTTATTTATTTGACAGAGAGAGAGACACAGTGAGAGAAGGAACACAAGCAGGGGGAGTGGGAGAGGGAGAAGCAGGCTTCCTGCTGAGCAGAGAGCCCAATATGGGGCTCGATCCCAGGACCCCGGGATCATGACCTGAGCCGAAGGTAGACGCTTAATGACTGAGCCACTCAGGCGCCCTAGTCAGTCTTGACAATAATGGCTTGGGGACTCTCCATGGGGTAGGGACAGCGATCTCTACTTCCACTCCCTTCCTCCTCTTTGTTCTGTTCTTTCAAAGCCATGTGTTTATGACCTCTTGCATCTCATTTGCTCTTCCAAATATCCCTTAAGATTTCTGCTGTCCTTCCACCCCTCCTAAAACCCTTCTTTGTCCCCACAAACCATTTGACTCTATTTAGAATGATCTCTGAAAACTAGATGAAGTATCTTCTAGTAAATAACTGACTAAAAGTTGTTGTCCATCTAAGTGAGGTCTCACCTCTATGCCTTGGGTGAGTTTTGCCAATCCTGAAAGTCACAACTGTCTCTTCTCTGCAGGAAGCTCATTCACTTAGAGGTGCCACACTGGGAGGCTAAAAATAGAGTGTATTCTCCAAGATATTCAGGGAAATAGAAATCGGGCTGTTGAAATCTTTCTTATAAAAAGTCTTGACAGTTTGTCCACGAAAGCTCTGGCTTCCTTTGAATTCCCCCATAGCTGCAATCCATCAAATCCATATTGTAACACCAGCCTGCCAAGGGGAATTTGCGACAGTGTGTAGCTCTGTTACTCATTTTTATTTAACCTAAAGGTTTTGACATACTTAGGCTTCAATTATCCTACAGGTCACAAGTGGACCTAGTAAATAAAGAGTTTTCCTTGTTCCTGCAGATGTAAAAGTGGTTAATGGAAGAAGGTATAAG